AGTAGCTTTGGCCTACAGTCCTCTCAACCTGCATCTACAGGGCTGATGCCATAGATGTCCATGGCTCAGCGCCGGAAGGGTGGAAGTGAGGCCCTCAATAGTTAGAGTAGGGTTTTGCGGTATACTATATAACTTTGCAGGGGCTACACGGGGAGATTATTACTAATGATTCAGACCCTAGGGCATACTCAGGCTGCTGAATCTTCCTCACTTCACTCTTTGCAACCCTACTCAAAACATTTCGAAAAAAACCAAGAGAGACTCAACGAAATGTCCGGGTTCCGGGCCGGCCGTCATACGGGCTAGGGTGTAGGTCTGCTGCAGTTATCTGGCACCTGCAGGAACAGGCATGCAGTGCCAGTGCAGCCACCTGTACAAACCCGAACCCGGAACCTTCAGCGCCCTTGCTGAAGTTCGAAGATATACACTTGCAGAGACGGCTAAATGGCTATAGCCGGGTGTGAAACTTGGTGTGGAGGGCCAGAGTTGGCTTACCTTAGTGCTAAGCCGCTCAGGTAAGTTGTCTTGTCTAGCAAACATAGGTCGCCAGCATTTTAATCAGAACGATGAACTACCGCGAGCCGAAGCTCCATTTTTCCAGACCCCATACATCAAAGCACTGCAACGCCCTGAAACGTCCAGCCCTCAACCCTAAGCCCTTGATTTCAAAGCTTCCAACCCTCAACCCCTACCTTTGGGTAGTTCTTTAAATTAGGGGGACCGACAAGGTGAATTTTGAGAAGTACCCATTGCTTGAGCAAGCCTCAAGTCTGAAAGCTGAATCCACATCCCAAACTCCTTGTAGCACCCTTAAACAACAACAAACCCAACATAAGCCCATCGAGCCCCGTAAGCCAAAGTGAAAACCTATATAGAATCCCGTTAATTCAAGGGCCGGAATAAGAAGTACAAACAAAATCCTTATATTCCCCCCCCGGGAACTATACAGAATATGCCAGAAAAGCCTGCTCTATACTTTTTAACGCACCTATCGTAAGCCCAAGACCTTGGAAGTGCCAGTGCCAGGCCCCGCGGCCCGCCCTGCCGGAAGGGAGCTCCCGATCGCTTTCCGCATCCGGCTCTATCGGCTCAGGTGTGCTTTGGGGTTTCGGGTTTTGAGGTTAGGGTTCCTTTCAGAATTACTTGGAGTTGAGGGTTCCCTGTAGGGATATCATATAACAAACATAATACAATATATACTATCACACAGTGTAATGCACGATCTTCTTCCACAGGCTTGTGTCCGGCCGGACGCGTCCCTCACACAGATGTTTGCAGGTGATCCCGCTGGGGCCTGTTTGTAGCCCTACTGAGCAGTATAATCAGGCTACCAGCGGGGGCGAGCGAGGGTACAAAGCGGCAGCTCGAGGAGCCGAAAGCCGTCCGCACGCTCTGAAACAAACAACGCGAAGCCAGCCAGATCAGAGCCAGCATCGAGGTTAATGCGGCGCTCCTGCAGAGTCATTCGGCTTGGCATTACCCATGAATGCCATTGCGAAATTAAACACAGGCGCCAAGCAAACCTCAGGCTAAGCTATATTCCTCAAGGGGGAGGGAGAGGCAAATTGCCAGCTGTGCACCCCCCAACACTTACGATGCCCATTCGCAGTGACCACATTTACACATGGAGTATTTGCTCAACACCGGATCGACATGAGACTTGACATCCGGATATTGAAGCCATCTCGGCCATCACCATGAAAGCTCGCCGATGAGGTGTATCCAAGCTCTGGTTAAATTTATGATGTTGCCCGGGTATGGTTGGATGCCTTCCAGGCCAAACATCAAACTCCGCAGGCTGCTGGGTAGTTGGAAGCCCTCCAACCGCTGGTTGAACGCGTGGCCAAGTATCAAACTCTGCAGGCCGCTGGGTAGTGGATGCCCACCAGGCTGTGGTTGAGCGAAAACCAAACGTCGAACTCTGCAGGATACTGGACAGTTGGATGCCCTCCAGGCTATGGTTGAACACATAGCCAAACGTCAAACTCTGCAGCCTGCTGGGTAGCTGGACGCCCTCCAGCTGTAATTAACGCAAAGCCAAACGTCAAACTCTGCAGGCTGCTGGGCAGCTTGGATGCCCTCCTGGCTCTGGTTGAATGCATAGCCAAATGCAACTCCGCAGGCTGCTGGGTAGCTGGATGCCTTCCGGGCTGTGGTTGAACACATAGGCAAACGTCAAACTCCGCAGGCTCCTGGGTATACCGCTGGTTTTGAGCGAGCGGCCACATCTCAAACTGTGCAGGCTGCCGGGTAGTTGGGTGCCCTCCAAGCGCTGCTCGAAATACTGAGCAAACGACAAACTCCGCAGACTGCTGGGTAGTTGGATGCCCTAGCTCAGCTTTCGGCCAAAGTACCACGTTACTGACATCATCTCGTTCAGGGCGGCTACGTCTACATCAGACAGCGGCTTCTCATCGCGTAGGCGCTCCTTTGCAAAGCATCGCGGCACGACCGGCGCCAACCCTCCACACCACGTGCGAGATCTTGTCGTGTTGGACTTGACGCACCAGCAGCTGAAACTGCTCGGTCGTTCCATGGGACCTAGTGTACTACAACCTGCCTCGCTGATGATGAAATTCGCGCCCTATAGTACAATATAATGTAGCATATTATACTATAATAAGACATACCTTAACATTGACAACAATACAGATTATGTTATAATCGAACGAAAACAACATAATACAATATGTCACAGTATTGTACAACATAATATATAGGAACGTCATATGATGTAGGTTCAATTACGAAGACAACATCTCGTATCATATAGAACACAGTGTACTAGACCAAAACATAACATGTCATAGCATAATATAATATAATTCAATTGCGAATTGATAATGTAACATAACATAATATATTATATAGCATAGTATAGCATAATATAATATAACCCAATAATACAGTATAATATAACCATCATGTAAAAATACAAAGACACAATATAATATGTTCATTTGCAGTTACATTGTATGATGTTATGTTATGTGATGTTATATGACTTTTTTGTTTTATATTATGTTGCCTTATATTATAGTAAACTATTTTATGTGATGTCACATTACATTACATCACATGACATGACATGACATTACGTTGTAATATATTGTATGATTCTACATTTAATACATTTGTGATCTATAACTCGATGCAACAACACAATACAGATTCAACGAAATATTTTACAATATCATATAATGTGATAAAGTATGAGCGTATATAGATACACATATGTTTACATATATAGATACATTGTTTGTATGTGTATATATGTATGTGTGCATATATGTAGAGCAGTAACCTACCAGCAAGGTGACTGGGCTCTTGGGAGCCTGAGGATTAAACCCCATGCCTAAACCCGAAACCCGAAAACCTTTAAAACCCTCAATACTCCATCCACCTGCCAGGAAGCCGCCAGCCACCAGAAAGTGTTCGGAGTTTCTCCGGCTGATGCGCCCTGACAACTTAGTCTGCGTTCAGGGATTTCAGCAACGGTTGTTTTGATTCAGGATGTAAGAACTCTACTTGGTTGTTTTTTTTTCAAGCCGCCAGCTTTAGCAGCCATTTTCGCGCAGCCAATTCATCCAGGTCGGCAGCCTGGCCAAGGCAGTCAGCAATGCAGGTGGGGAGGGAGCATCGGGACGGCTACTCGGAATCGAGTGTAATTGAATGGCATAGGTTAGGCAGAGTCCAATCCGCTCGACCGCTTGCCAACTTGTTGGATCTGTGCTGGCTCAGACGGCTCCGTTGTCGCAATTGTCGGCAGCAGGAAGCCTTAGCTAGCCTACGTTTGACAAACTATGGCCCACATGCCCAGACAATGTGCTGGATGACAGTTGGCCTTGAGCTCTAGGGACATGTTCCCGGGCATTTGCAAGAGCAGTTCTTTGCTGCGCTTTCAGTTGGATGTAGCTGGCGTGTCTAATCTAGGTGCTTATCAGGATGTGGAAATGGTTCAAAACCCCGCAACGTCCATCATTGTATTTTGGGAACATCCGGAATATGGGCAAAAGAAGCAGTGACAGAAAGAAACATCCAAAGTCCCATAAGCTCTCCATACGGTCCTCATCTTCAACCTAATTATGCATCCCGAATCGATGTTTAGGGTTTAGGGTTTAGGGGATATCTCAAGACTTCTTCCATGTCGACATCCTGGCATAATTGGGCGGCTCAGGTTAGCTTTGCTTACAAGTCTCTTTCTCTTGTACATTGCGGCCCGTTTTGGGAGGACTGAGCGACACCCGGATGCATCAGCACCCAAATCATCACATCAGCACAATATGGGCTATGGGGCACCTGATAAGTGTTGACAGTGCCTCCTGTAATAGTCCATAAATAAATACAGTACGCATATATATGTATGTACACACACGCACATACATAAGTTGTTTAGCTACCCATTCATTTTATGTACTTGAGTACTGCCTTATCTATGCTATACCCTTCCCGAGCCAAACCCGATTTACTCGCAAGGATGGCATGGGGTCAAGCCATGTGCTGATGTCATCGCTACTCATAAAGAACTAGAGCTGGCTACAATTCCATAACCAGTTAAAAGCTTGTCTAAATACAAATGCCATTCCTTAGCGTTCCTTATTTTCGGTTTTACCACGATAACCACCAAAAGCATAGTCGAATTATCACGGCCCTTGTCGGGCGGAGAGCATGTGCTGAAGAGTGTCTTTAAGCTGCATGCGTTTGGGGCCAGTGTTTAGGGCTCATACGGGTGAGCGTTAGCGCTGATCAGCGTAACAAGCTGCGTCGCTTGGTCGTTGTGGGACGGAGTCCATGCTCTGAGGCTCTTGGGCTCGACATTGTAGTAGAGGGCCTTCCTATTGTGCTGCGCATGCTGTCCGATATAAATTCACTGCCAGACTACAGGCTATACACAAGAGGCGATGTGTGATTCGTCCCAGCTTCCAGTATGTGCAGTGCTCTCGCAGTCCTTCATCGTGTGTTTCTTTTTTCTGATACCCAGCCCTTTGCTCGAGTTTGAGGCTTGGGGATTACGCGAGGGCTTCCGCCCGCGGACTTTCCGGACTCTTGCGAAGGCCAGGGGCCTTCGAGTGCGAGTGCTACAGAGTACAAAGTGGAGATCATCGGTTCTGGGTATGGTTGAGTATCCGAGCTTCCTATTGCAATTGGATGTTCCTGTTATCTGTGTGTAGAAGGCTTTCACGTAGAAGCTTCACATTATGTTTCGAAGATGTGGCTGCAAGGCAAGTGCGTTGTTTTATGCGGGAACCGTGCTCAGCAATGAAGTTTATGCCTGTCGTGTCCCATTGTTGTCCAAGTGTTTTTCCTCACTGGCACCCATGGCTTGGCGCAGGTCTCGTCACCATTGGAGGCCAGTACACCATCTCTGCGAAGCACATCGTGAATGCAAGTCGAAGCCACAGCTGCATTATCCGCGCCCAGCATGGCACGACGCTGATGCTGAGCGCCCCGCTGCACTTTCTGGGAGATGTTCGCATTACGGGGAGCCTGCAGGTGCTTGACTTGATTGCGAGTACAGTAATTGCACCCACATGTATTAACAGTATGCGTTTTATATTTAAACCGAGAGTGTGGACTTCAGGTGGTAGCCCAGGAGGACATGAGGTCCGACAGCTGTTTCATGGTGAAGGGCAGCCTAACGCTCGAGATGGATCTCCTCCGGATGACTGGTTGCCGCTCGTCCGACCGTGGCGGCGCATTACAAGCTCTGGGAGATCTAAACGTGATAGGTGGCAAGTTGGTGATCGACGACTGCCATGCGAGGGAAGGTGGTGCCATTTTTGTCCATGGAACTGCACATATCACAGGAGCACATGCCACTTTCACACATTGCACGGCATCTTCAGATGTCATGGGCTTCATAAGCAACAAGGTCGCAGATGACGACTCACACAAGCATTGTGGTGGAGGCCTTGCCGTTGACGGGTCCTTGCAACTGCAAGAAGCTCGCATAACATTCGATCGCTGCCATGCAGCAGACTTCGGCGGAGGTCTCTACGCAGCCCGTTTTCATCGGCAAGTTTTGTTCTGCTTCAATTCACACATGTGATCATGTATGCTTACACGTCCCTGGGGATGCCATGGGTGAGTATCCTGGAAGTAAGGGTCTGACGGCTTTCGTGTTTCTCAGAGTACCGGTTCTTTGCACAGCTGCTGCAGCTAAACTGAAGTGCCCTGTTATAGGTGAATGGTAGCTTCTATGTGGAAAGTGGCGCCGTGAATTTCAAGGATTGCCAGAGCGGGCGTGGAGGTGGAATGCTCCTGCACTGCCCTCAGGTTGGTTCCAGCTCATGCACAATCAGCCATTCAAACTTGGTTTTCAGCTCGTGCTCCGCTTCCTACGGGGGTGGCCTGGGCCTGTATGGCGCCCTAGGCCTCATGGATTCCAACGCGAGCTTTGAGAACTGCAGCGCAAAACAAGGAGGAGGAGGAGTTTGGGTCGGGAGCGATTCCGCAGTTCCGTCTGCAATTGTTGCGAATGCTGGGGCTTTCGAGTTCAAGCAATGTACTGCCGGCAATTGGGGTGGCGGAATGAATTTCGAGAAGGCAGAGGTAAGCCTTGATCAGTTCGACTTGGCTTTTGTGGGGTGCACAGCGAGCATAGCCGGGGGCGGATGGCAGTCCGGCGCTGGCAGGCTCTTCCACCGCCGTGGCCGAATGTCGTTTCACTCCTGTTCGGCATTCGGAGGCGCGGCCTTCAGCACGACTTTGGGCGCAGAACTGGCGGAAGTCCATGTCGAAATGAGCAGCGGCTTTGAGTCGGAAGTCCAGAGTGCTGCGGGCAATCTGTCCATTGAACTGTTGACCTTTATCTACAATGGCCCCCGCTTTGCTGGATTGAATGTCGGGGTGATGGCACCCAACGTATCCATTAAGGAACTGAATTGCACAGCTGCTAACACATGCACCGTGTGGGCTGCCACAATGCGCATCCCGTCCCTACTATGTGCTCCTGGGCGGGAATTGAGCCGCACGTCCACTGATCCTACGACAACAAGCTTTGGTTGCGAATTGTGTGAGCGTGGGCATCTTGGCTGAGTTGCACCATTTCTGCCAGTTTTTTTCAGATTCAGTTTGCTGAAGTTTACCGAATGGGAACTTTCCACGTTGCCGAGGTATTTTCAGCCACTTCCATGGCGCAATCCGCATTGTTTGCCATGCCCCAGCGAAGCACAGGTATGCGACGCCGTGTCTGTGACAATGCAGGCCGCAGAACGACCGGGGCAGCTTGCAACACCTCGTGTTCCATTCTCTCGGCGTTTGGTAGTGGACTGCCCTGCGTGCCGGACCCGACCATTATGGTTCTGTTTGGACCTCAAACACCCGAACACTCAAAGCTTGCCGACCAAAGGGCTGTTTTCCAAGCGCGGTCATAGCATGCCAGGCAAAAATTCCTTCTCTTTAGTAATATTAAGCCTCACCGACCGAAACTCGGCTTGAGCAACACCCGCAAGGGCCAGCATCATCAGCATCATTTTTTCTCCATGTGTGACGGCTTGTCGTCCTCCTGCGGTCCAAGGCTGTGGTTGTGTTGGTATGGTTGGGCTGTTTCCGCGGTCCTTACCAGAAGGATTCGAGTTCAAGAACGACCCAAGTCCAAGTCATGTGTAACCGTGGGTCTGGCGGGGGAGGGGACGACAGCCTTCCCGTCTCCCCGGCAACAATGGGAACAGTTCCGTTTTGCGGCGGTCAGGGTCACCCTACCATAGGCCAACGGATTCGGCAAGTCCCCATGCGCATTTAGCATTGAACAGCAAAGCTCACTCTTCGACGGGAGACGGGCAGATGCTTGCTGCAAAGTCTTGCGTTGTGACTTAGCTTTCGTCCCAACATCTCCCAGCACTACGTTCTGGCAGGCTGGCTACATGCTCGATATCCCGAAGCTTTCGTCAATCACTGACTTCAGCGAGCTGGATTCGGTCAATCGGACCTACTTCTGTCCAAATCCTGCTTCCTGCCCAGGATCCCGAGGTTCAGAGTTTGGATTCCATGAGCGCTTAAGAATGGACTTCGAGTTGCTGGACCTTAGTGTGGAGACTGCGCGCTTGTTTCTCAGGGTTTCTGCCTTGCAGAATCTATGTATGCAAGCCAAACTTGTGGGCCGAAGGTGAGAAGCGGTATTATCTGCCAGAGCACCATGGTTGAGAAAGTCGGATGCATCTATGAAGCATTTCTAAGAAGCATGGGATCTCGTTTTGTGTTGCATGCCCAAAACCTTGAACCCGTAAGCAACGGCCAACAGTCGCTGATGCCCTTCGTTTGTCAGTCAGGCTTGCTTGACTGTTCACACATCCATGCTAGTATTGGCCAGGTTGTACGCACTGTACAGTAGCTAAGAGCCAGTGTGCAGAGGTTTAGCTGGTGTGGCCAGTTAGTTTTTCCAACCTTTCGACATGTTTAGCTGGTATGTTCGAAGCAGCGGGAGTCATGCTTTGCTGTGTACCGGCGTAATCTGGCCAATCTCTGCGATTGCAGGAGGACGACTGGCCCACCAAGATGAGAGAGCAATGTGTTCGCCTGGCGCCACGGGTAAAGGATGTGAGTATTCAGTGCCCGGCTATGCGAGTGGAGATTATAGCAACCCATATGCCAAATTCAAATGTCCCACTTCGTCATGGGCTTGGGTTGCGGCTGCCAGCTACCAGTTCGGCAAGGATGCGCTCGTGTTCGTGCTCGCCTCCTCTTCAGTGCTCGGTGCAAAAGCTGGACGAAAAGAGAGTGCCGTCCTTGTGAACCATTTCATGGCTTTTGGTACCATGGCGTCCCATTGTTTGGTGGCACTCATGCAGGCCAAAGTTTTTGCTGCACAGCACGACTTTGTGCGAGACTTCGTGGCTAGCTGGGGCATCGTGATTGATGTAGGAACTGGGCAAAGTGCGGCAGGCACACCACTAACTTGCTTTTACACAGCCATATGTGGCGGAAGCGGTCTCGACAGTTTTTTCGTGTATTTAGGTTTGGGCAGTGTGCCAGCCCTACTCCTAATGTGCACCCTTGGATGCGCCAAGGGTTTTTGGCTTGGCATCATAGTTGGAAGCAACTGCTTCCTGCCAGCGTTTTGCGGACGCCTGAGTATGCTCTTGATTTCCTATAGGGCAACCGAAACAGGGAATCTTCAATTTTACTTTACAGTTGGTGAAAGTCAGCTGTGGGCAATGTTGCTTGCACCTGTCATGGTGCTGACCATTTGCTTCGGCGCGACCATCTGGATGTTTCTACGGGCAACGCATTCCGACCAGGACCCTCGCTCGCTGCACGTGTTATACCTGGCGGCTCCTTACAAGCCCAACTATGCCTCGTGGGAGGTGGAACGGCTGCTGCGAAAGATGGTACTCAGTGTGATTTGCACAGCTTTCCCTGTCACACTTCATCCTATGGCACAGCTAGCTTGTTTAACCTGCATCTCAATTGTGTCAGCTGCGCTGTATTTGAAGCTGCAGCCCTACAGTGTTGCAAAATTCAACGACATGGAGATCGGCTTGTTGTTGACAGCTAACGTCATGGTCGTTTTGAGCCTATATAGTTCAGCTCCTTGGGCGGGCTGGGCCACATATACTCCTTGCATCCGGTTCGTGGCAGGTGCGGCCGCCATCTTATTAGGCACAGGCTGCACACTTTGGATGGCCATCCTGATCGGTGCTGCACTTATGAGGGAGCGTGAGGAGGAGTAAACTGCGCATGACTGCAAAAGAGCTCCTGCAACAGCCGTGCCATTTGAGATGCAGCACTGTCAGTGAGTCTCTGACCGTCAGACTCTGACCCCATGTGGGTATTATCGAGATTAGACTGCAGTCCGGACCTGTATCAGAAGTGCGCTAATGCAGAACCCCTCATCGAACCTTCAAGCACGAACATGAACCTCGAATAGAAAGCCTGAGCCCCAAACCTTTGACCGTAAACTCTGCAAGTGGCCTGATAAACCGGCCAGGCGCACGTGACACCCCGGCTCTGCGGTGTTCTTTGCGACGCCTTTACAGCGTGGGCCTTCCTTCATACTTGCGGGTTGACATGCGACGGCCCTAGGGCAGCCAAGGAAATGTAGCACCGTTTATGGAGCAATTGCCCTGCCCTACGGTTCGTGAAAGTCTGTAACGTAACAATGAGGCCAGGTGACCGGAAGGGGAGCTGCTTGTGCAAGTGTGGGTAATGCCCAAGTCGTCCTACAGATCTGCTTGAGCTTGGGCCTCCTGATGCTGGTTGATGTAGACTGTGGGGAAGCTTCGATCTCTATAGGGCAAAAATGGCTAAGGGCTTGAGTTTAGACTTCAGGGATTCAAGGTTTATGGGCGCTTGGGGCTGAGGCCGAGTGGTGATGTTGGAGCAAGGCTTGCTGTAATTACAGCGGCCACAGATAACGCAAAGCCGCGTGCTCGGCAAGCGAAAGATGGAGGAAAAGGTGCTTCAGGTCCCTAGTACTGCCACGGTTTAGGGCCGTTTAGGGTTTAGGGTTGCCAAGCCGTGAGAAGGAAGGGCCAGTGTCGCACACGAGTCGTGACAAAGAGCTTCGGAGTAACCACATCTGATTCATAAGTCAGGGCTGGCGACTCAATTGTGGCACATCTGTGTTAGCTCCCCCTGACAGTTTATAGCCTGTAAATCCTAAAAGCAAACCCGAAACCCTAAAGCCCCACTGCACCCTGATAACTTAAACCCTATCAGCCTACAAGTCAACCGGCAAGCCCCCCCAAACCGGTTGATTGATGCGGGGCTCAAGCCTTCGCAGCGTCCCCTTGGGAGCCGGAATATTTTGGCGACATGAGTGCAGTAAACGACAGGTGGGGCGGCGGGATTGATGGAGGGTTGGGGACTTCTGGGGTTTCGAAATATTTGCGGTTGAGGGGTTTACGGTTCAGGTTTTAGTGTTTTCGTGCGATTTGGATTGTACGTGTTTGGTTTGTAGAGGTTTGGAGTCGCAGGGATGATTGTCTGTCTTGGGTTTCGTGAGGCGTGGTGTTGAGGACACTAGCGATCTTCAAGCCTTGCCTGTAGCCCCAAACCCTACACAACCGTAGGCTCTTACCCCATAGTTTTTACTTCGTCCAGAACATGTTAAAGCCCAAATAACAGGTTTTGTGCATCGAGGTTGTTGTTTGAATTTGCAGAATTCACCAGGCTCTTTGTGGAGTGATGTCGTGGACGTGCAGGGACCAGGGAAGACATACGTTTTAGGATGTAGGGTCTAGGAGTAAATTTGGATTTTCGCACCAACAGAAATCAGCATTGCTCGGAACTCATGACCCTCACTTCAACCCCCTGCAGCCATAGTCCGGTCCGTAAACCCTGAGCCCTAAACCCTCATCCACTTTGATTTTGAAGGACGCGAGATTTCTGAAGAGTTTACTTGGGGGTCCAAGTACCCCAGCGATCAGGGAATTTTGAAAGTCAGCTATAGATACAACTGTAAAGCAGTAAATTGGTGTTCTCCTACTTATGCGTATATATATATATATATATAAAGTTATTAAGTCTCCCTCATATCCTTAACTTCAGGACTGCCCATGTAACCATGTAATACCTTTCGATTGGGCCGACCAGTATCGGTAGTTGTCCAAGTCAAGGTTGTTGTGGATCCCCCGAAACAGCACATCATCACGTAAGAAGCTTCCAAACGGCCCTGATTTGAGGGAGCTAGTGAACACCATGGGACCTCACAAACTACTTGAGTCCTTGGGGGTCTGCCAGGTCAAAGCGCAATGCTGCCGAAGCCTTCGGCCAGCAGCTTCCTTCCATGGGCGCCAGGGTCCTGGGGGCCCTGTTCAGAAGGTTTTAGGGTTAGGGTGTACCTAAACCATCTGTAGATAGTTTGCGGGGTCCAGATGTTCGTTACTCGGTCTTTTTCCTGCGGCCGCGATTAAACGAAACAATTCGTCAACACGGCGATGCCGGGTTTAGTTGAGGGCAGAACTCTGCGCACCTGACGCCGTTAGTCTCAATATGCCACAGCTGCAGCCCCCACAGAGACGACAGTAAATTAAAGCAAAAAGTCTTTATAGAAGCGCTACAGCCTTATGACGTAATGTAACCATTTGCTTCATTTGGAGCTTCGTGGCTTTCTGGAGACTACAGAGCATAGATCCTTGGGACTCTTGGATTTTAAGCTTTGGGGCCGGCTCGGGGATTTAAGAACTGCGCGGGGTAAACTGGATTGGAGGTGTGGAACCGAGCTTTCGGGGCTTGACCTCCTTAGGAGTTTAGAAACTGCGTCCTGCACATCGCCGACCCGCGAAAGCTACACCCCAGACCCTTTTATTGTTGCTATAGTTGAGGGTTTAGGGGTTAGGGTTGTAGATCATTGGGATGCTTCTGGGTGGCCATCAAACCCCCATTGCACTTTGCCTTTCTCTGCCCGAGCCAAAGAAAGCAAGCTCCACGCACATCTGCAGTCCCTTTGTCCCTAAGGCCATAAACCCTAACCATAAACCCTAAACCCTGAAGCCACCAACTTCAAAAGCTTTGCATCCCAGGCTCACAAGCCCAAGCATGAACCCGAAGCCCCATGCCCGAAGCGAAACCAAACCCTGTAAGTAGGTACACTCGACTCAACCAAACAAGCAAACCGACAGCAAACAACCCAAACAACCAAACAAGCAAACAAGCAACAAGCTATTGCACACGTTCTTCTATCTAGCCTAGCTTTTCTACAACGCAATCAGTGCTTCTATCACAACAGTCTATAGCTTCGATTTCCCAGGACTTGGAGCTTGCGGAGCTAACCGCCGTGGCCCCCGTGGATGGTCGCTACCGGACCCTTGTCTCAGGGGGAAGGGCTTTAGAGTTTCGGGGTTTAGGGCACAGGATTTAGGGTTTACGGCCTCAGGGTGTTGGCATTTAAGGCTTGATGCTTCAAAATTTGGACTTTGAGAGTCTTGTATCGCAAGTTTGCGCAACCACCTTTCAAAGTTGTCCGGCAGCCTTCGTAGCAAAGTAGAAGTTCCAGATACAAACGGACTTGAACACAGAACCTATCCAGCAAGGTCCTTCTTCCACGGACCCCTGCTTTCTGGAATTTTGCTACCAGTCTCGTTGTTGTCATACATCATCCCAGTGTATTGTGAAGTTACAAGCATAACACGTGGAGCGGTGTTTCTGGCCTCTTAGGTCGCAAACCCAGGTTTTCATAAGTACTTAGATGGCGATACCTACCGAAACCATAATGTTAATTTGTCCTATAGAAACCCTGCTTTCCATTGTGTAGGTACTTAGGGTCCTTTGGGGGAAGACTTGCAGTGCGATGTTGATCAGCGATGCATTTGGCAATTTGGCCTGCTGCTCTTGGCTATGCAGTATGTTTAGCTTCCTTGGTTGATAGGGCTTCGTATACAAGTTCTATGAAGGAATCAGTCAAACCGGCGAGCCGTACCCTTTCGATGCCGACAGACGCAGGAAGAACACAAAGGGCTTGGCCGAGTATGTCTCGGAGTTCGGCCTCATCAGATACCGCGTACATGTTGCCTGTCTAGTCTAGACGTGATGACGCGTTGACTTTTTAGAGTATAGAGGTTGGGGTTGGGATTTCGGACTTAGGATTTGGGTTATGGGTTTGGAATGTATCGGTTATCGTTGAACGTCAGTATGCCATTGTGGATGCAAGGCCTAAAATAAAGCATGCTGGCCAGGGTTGCCTTTCGGACGTTCGGCTTGGATTGGGAGGTGAAGCGGAGTTTCACAGCGGTGTCCCTGTGGTCGAGAGATTTAATGAGGCTAGTTTGGCTCAGGATTGGGGGTGTTTAGTGGTTTAGGGTTTTGGGTTCGACTGGGTCTTGAAGGCTCCGGGATTTCCGATTCGTAAGCACGGGTTATTGCAACTTTGCTTGGGCCAGGGAACTCAGCAACTTCGTAAGTAACCAGGGGACCTTGAAAGGAGCTGTCCTACTCAGTAACCCCACCCATACGTCTACTCGCTAACTTCGCCGATCCGCTAAGCAGCCCTGAGCCCCCAGAACCGTGTGCGTGCTTGGAGGTTGAGATCGAGTACTTCCTAGCGCTCATGACCCAGCTGCCAGTCGGCAAGGACCTGCCAGCAGGCATCACGCTGCAAATTCAGAGCTTCGTATGTTCTCTTGTTATTGTTATCATTGGTTGTATGCCTATCTGGCCTATCTACATGCTATGTCTACAACAGCGCTACAACATGTTATGCACTTCTTTGCTACGCTGTGCAATGCTGTGCCAGGCCATGTCATGCCTGCCATAGTCTGCTATGCTATGTTATGCTATGGTATGGTATGTGGCATCATGCCATTCCATGTCAAGTCATGCTTCGTTATGCAATGTTCTGCTATGATCGTTTCTGTGTTGCTTCGTCTTTGTTATGTGGTGTTAGGCTAATGTCATGCCATGCAATGGCACGCCGTGTCATGTGATTTGATTTGATGATATGATGTGTTGTAGCAGAATGTGCTACATGCTTAGTCGAAGCGATCCGGAAGGGATTGCCCCAGACGCTAGAGACTCGACACTCTCCCTGCTGCATCAGCAGGGTCTACAGTAGGCAAACCTGCTAACTCAACTGGGGTAGGGCTTCAGGCTTTAACCCCATAAGGCCCAAAACCCCATTGCCGATTACACTAAGTTCTGCACCGTAAGTACCTAAGCCCCAATAAATCTTACGATGAGCGTCAAACCGTTCCTACACCCATAATGTCACCAGTACCCTGCCCAGCCTTGCGCCAAAACGGTAAACACGCTTTGCCGCAGGCACGGCTGAGAAGCTGCGGGCCATCCCGGCGAAACTCACCGTCGAGGCCAACAGGGCTCTACAAAGATCTCTCAAATGTTGTCGGAGGTTTTGGGGTTCTATACGAGTTCTATCAGGTTCATTACGGGCTCCTTGCGGGCTTCGTGGAATCAGTTTAGGATTTTGCGGGTTGGAGTTGGAAGGTTCAGAGTTGGATTTTATGAGGGCCTAAACCCTAAACCCTACAAGGCTCAAGGCCTGGGTTTTGATTTTCGGGGTTTGAGGACCAGGTTTAGATTGTTTGGTGATCAGTATTATCGAGTTTAGGGTTTTGATGTTGAGGGATGAGAGCTTTAGGGTTTTAGGTTGAAGGTTTAAGCTTTGGGTTGAGGGATGTTGCGGGTCAGCGACAGTCAGTTACAGCCAACTGTTCCCTTACTGACGCAAGCCTCCGACGCTTAGGGTTACAACATGAAGCCCGGTGTAACGCCCCAATCTGATAACTGAGACCTCTTTACACAAAACAGGGCGGGGCCCTTGAGCTGCAACGCGAGGTTTCGACGACAGCAATAATTTGATTGAAGTCTTTCCTAAACCCTAAACCCTAAACCCTAAACCCCTAAATTTCAATTATGTGGAGCTCCAGAGCACGATATCTCCGCATGCAGCACCCCCAAAACGCCAAGTGAGCGAAGTGAGCATGTCCCGAAGTCAGTGGTTCACAGAACTGAGATCTTCGGGTTGAAGGCCGGTGACACGAAAACCTGTAAGTCCGATCCTGTCAAGGATGCCAAGGAGATCAAGGACACAGAGAAGGCTGCTGGGAGGGGGGGGGGTCGGGTTGCAGGGTTCCAGACGATTGGGGAATGTGCCCTAAACCCAAACTTAAACCTGACAATTACCGGGATGATGTTGGCTACGGTCGGTCCTTGAAGCTTGCCCCGCTCTTGGCTGCCTCGATTAACCCTGAACTGGCCCGAAACTCGACGGATTTCGTAAAGCGTGCATGGACATCGGGCTTGGGCCTGGAGTGTAGCGGGGTCCTTGTAAGACAATCCACGTTCACTGGTCCGGTGCATAAACCTCAAACTGGAGCCCTCAAGTCGTACACAAAACCTAACCCTAAGCCTCCAGGTACCTACTCTAGAGGGTACTAAAGGGTACTAGAGCCCCTAGAGGCCTATATAGTAGAGGTACCTGGAGGGTTAGGGTAACGCCCTAGTTTGGCTGGAGGCCCAGATGTACACCGCAGAGCTTCTGCTCCGCGCACGAAAAGCCAACCCTAAACCCTAAACCCTAAACCCTAAACCCTAAACCCTAAACCCTAAACCCTAAACCCTACACCGTAAAGATGGACCTCCGTGCCGTCCCGTTCCTCGGTGTTCCCACTTCTTCCGTTTGGGACCACAGAAAACAGGGGGGGTTTCCGAAAATAGGAGACCCTAATGTAGTACCCTAAATAATAGGATCCCTATTATAAGGACCCCAAAATAAGGTACCCCGTATTTTGGGAAACTCCCACATGAGCATGGCCATCTTGAGATCCTCATTGCCAGATGACATTCCCTAGTCGGGGAGGGATTCGACAAGCGGGGCAAGCTTCATGCTGAATATTATGGGGGTTTCCGAAAATAGGGACCGTAATATAGTACCCTAAATACTAGGATCCTTATTATAAGGACCCCAAAATAAGGTACCCCTTATTTTCGGAAACTCCCATATGGGCTATTGAAGCCTTCAGCCCATGCCGGCTCCCTGGGTGCTGCTCTGGGCTGCCTCAGAAGTTCAACAAAAGGGTTAAGAGGACTTTCTCGTGTGGTTCACAGGACCCTGACTGCGGCTACACCCTTCTCCTACAGACTTTTGGTGTATTATGGGGAAAGGCTTCGTCAGATTTCCAAGGGGTTCTTGAGGGGACGATCGTTCTTGTGATCTCGCTCTTGACCTTTGCGGCTGCCAGGTGACGAACCACGACGTGAAGGCACCGGGGCTGCACCGTCAACCTCACCAAGGTAGGTACCATACCGCGGTTTACGGTTTAGGGTTTAGGGTCTTGGGGCAGAGCCTGGGTAGTCAACAAGTTCTGAAGACGGGAAAGCGCCCGAAAACGAAACCTAAGCCACCGGTTAAAACAAGTGGCAAGCCATGCTTCGTCGAAGCAGCAGCAGAGTTGTCTCAGTTTGTGAGCCTCAGAGCTCCCAAGAGTTCTAAAGACTTCCAGACTCTTTGTACGCCTACCTCGATTTCCACGGCGGCCGAGCATTCGTGGTTTTAAGGCGGGAATCGGGACTCTGTGAGATCATGATAAGAATGTCTGAAGTACTAGCATGGAGCAGGGGACAGCCGTACAACACTACGATCGACCATCACATGCACGCACTTCCGGTCGGCATTTTGAGGCTGTGGAATACTTCATCAAGAAGCGCTTCGACGAATTGGGCCTTGAGAAGTACAAGGAGTCCAGAGGGTTCGTGTGATGCTGTCTGACTGCATCTGGGTTTAGGGTTTAGGGTTCAGGGTTTAGGGTTTAGGGTTTAGGGTTTCGGGTTTAGGGTTTAGGGTTTGGGGTTTCGGGTTTAGGTTTCAGGGTTCAGGGTTTAGGGTTTAGGGTTTAGGGTTTAGGGAGTGAACTCACATGAAACCTGAGAACTTCGAGAGCCGAGAGTGTCATGCCCCGACCCCATTCATGGAAGAGCTTGCGAAGAGAGGCGACAAACACGTAAAGTTGCAATCCCCTAAACCCTAGGGTTTAGGGTTTAGGGACCCTAAGATTGCGTTTGCCAAAGTGCGCAAGCTGAACAGAACTGTCTTCGATCTTCCCTGCATTGAAGATGATTAGACAATGGTTATAATCATGATCAGGATGATGTTGCTGCTCATGGTGATGACGCAGGTGTTCAGAGACCTCTACCCAGAACCCATTATGTTTTGGGGGAGGCTCCTTAAGGAAGGAAATTACAGACTAAACCTCTGAAAAGGAAGCAACCAGAACCAAACCCCTGATCCCAGAGTGCAATCCACACCTCCGGAGTGTTGTCCCCTCAGGTCTGATGGATGTAGCTATTCATGAACCTGTGGGGTTGGTGGGGGGTGGATGGCGGCCTTTGGACTAGAACCCCTGTAAAACCCAAGCCCGTTCCCAACCAGGAGCTCTGATCCTACCTCTAAGTCTTCGCGTCGTTATCTTACCTAGACCCTGGATTGCGGTACCCTTCTTTGGGTAACCGAGTTGATGATAACGATCTTCAAATACCACTAAGAATCAGAAGAGAAGGCGCCCAACCAAAAAGTAAAGGCCACCCTGCAGGGGCTAGTCTTCCTTGCGATGGCATCCGCAGGAAAGCAGCTTCGCCCCTGTCCTTAATCAACTGGGTTCTTGTTAAGGGATTTAGTTTAAGTTACCATAATAAGGAAACCATATTATTTACTATAGATCCCTATTATGGTAACTTAAATTAAATCCCTTAACAAGATCCCAGTGAACGGGACCCTGGTCTGGAGACTTCCGCCTATACCCTTCACCCCCCCCAAAAAAAAACTCTGCAGCCATCGATCCATCGGATCATTGTTTTTTTTTGGGTTCAGAGTTGAGGAGTGGGTCCACTTCGCACTGACGAGCCAGGCGCGGCCAGGGAGAGTTTCGGGTTTGGCGCTTTTTTTTGCGATTTAAGGGTTGCTGAGTGTACAGGTGTTCAGGGGCTTATGGCTTTCAGGGTGTCGAGCTGAGCTTCGAAGGAGTTCGGGATTACGAACTTCAGCAGGCGCACAAAGCAGTCTTGAAATCTAAACCCTGAGAACCCACAGTTTCTTCGAAGGATGTCAACAACACGGCGACACCTATGCTTATCAGGGATGCCATTCACAGGAGCCGCTTCGACTGAAAAATTTAATCTTCAGTTTGATGCCAGGATGGCAAAAAGGTTTCGGGTTTTGGTTTTGAAATTTAAGGCTTGGGCTTTTCGGGCTCAGGGCTTGGGTTTTAAGGTTTACGGCTTGGCAAGGAAGGTATATTATTATTAGCATTATCATTTTTATATTATATATATATATATTGATATCATATATATATATATATATACACACACACATATGCATGCTCTGATCCAGACGCATGACACCACTTTGCACTGCCACGTGCTAACATCTCACCTGGTCTTCGGTGCTTGTCAGTGCCAGATCTGAATCAGAGCCCAAAAGCAGTAATCTTATCTGCGGGTTCAAAATACAGTTATAGTAAAATACTTTAATGCCACATATATATATATATATATATCATATCCAGAAATCCGGTTCGAAACATTCTAGCCTTCTGGGTTACAGATCACGCCATCAAGGACTGCCATCTCACAGTCCTTCAGAGCTCTACTCTCCACGGTAGTTCTATTTTGGGGGTTGCCTGGTTCTTTTTTTAGAGGCGCCAAACCCCAAACTTGCTCAAACGAAGAGACGCTGTTCCCGACAATTTGCTAAATCCGAAAGCCCGGGTCGGCCCAGAAAACTCACATTGGTTTGGGTTTAGGGTTTAGGGTTTAGGGTTTAGGGTTTAGGGTGTTACAATACAATACAAACACCACGAGACGGTGCCAGGGACAAGGCGTAAGTCTTAAACCCTGTAGCGTAAGCCCTTAACTCCGTGGCCCTTTAGCCTTATAGAAGCCCTTACTACGGTGGATGATATAAATCCTGCATGACCTTCAGGACCCCCAACTATGGGAATTATGGTATATTCCTCATTATGGGTACTGCAGGATTTAGATCATGAGCCGTAGTAGGCCGTTTACCCAGGCTACATTCCCTCCATGGAGGCCTTGGTGGAGACCATCCGAGGCTTTCGGGGTTCGGGCTGAGTCCTCGGGGACCCTAAACCCTAAACCCTAAGGTTATGAGTCCTTGGGGTAGTGCTCAGAATTTTGCTGGGTTCAGGGTTTAGCACGTTTCGGGTTTGTTTGGGCGTTCAAGCCTTTTGTCGGTATAGGCTTCGGGGAGAAGTCGCAGATGATCGATGTTACATTCTCTCTAGAGTATAGGCGACTGGGGAATTCAGATGGGCCACGCAATCTAGTTACAAGCTTTTGAGGGGTATTATGGGTCTCAGAAAGTTAGAGAGATTGAGGGTTTTCATCTAGAATGTTCAGGGGTCGAATGGTTTCAGGTAGTTAACAGGCTGGCATTCTCATCAGCAGATTCATTGTTACTAGCGATGTTGTTTATCCGCCGGTGCAGTTCATGATCTGTTGCGGCGGAGCGTAAGGTTTCGGGTCAATCTAAGGGCCTTAATGATTCGAGTAGGGTCTTGGGTACATTATACTATGCTTATAATCAGCAACCCCCACTATAGTATTCGTAATTATTTAGGCCCCTGCCCTAAACCCTTTTAGAACCCTTATTAATGTAGCCCTTATAGTAACCCTTTAAAGGAGCCCCTGTTCTAATTATTAAAGCCCCCTTTATGGCTGTAAAGACCTGAAGCCGACTTAAGCCTCACTGGGCTGCAGGGTTTCGGTTGCCGGCTCTTAAGTTATGAGGTTACAAGGTTTGGGTTTAGGGTTTAGGTGAGGTTACAAGGTTTGGGTTTAGGGTCCATGGTTGGCCTCAGAAATGTTTTTTTGTTTGTTCCTTCATGCCTTCAAACCCTTATCTAAAAACAGATAAATACGGGCTCAAAAAGGCCGCAACACCTGACAGCCACAAAGCCACGACACACCAGCCATAGGACCCCAAACCGAGGGGTGTGTATCCCAAACTTGGAGGCCGAACGAGGCTTCCCGGATCCAATTCCCGAATCCTTTGATAAAGCCTAAAAAAGGAACCGACCTCACTCCACCAAGCATGACTCAATGCAGGGGCCTTGATAAATAGAACAGGGTTTTCAGGTATATCATGCTAGAACTATAGCAACTATATTAAGGAAACCCCAAAATATTATAGGTCATTATTGAGGCCCCTATAGTATACTCGAAACCCTAGAGCAGTAAGGCGTATCCTCAGGGCTTAAGCTTCTAGGGATTGACTTTTCTGGGCTCTTGTTTAGGAGCTTCATTTATGTTACCATAATAGCGATCTATAGTAGATAACAGCGTTTCCCTCTTATGGTTACTTTATTTCGTTAACTTCCTCAACAAGAACCCAGTTGTGTTGTTTGGTAGCCCCTTTAGCCTGAATCTTGTCCTGTCCTTAACTAGTTCCTTACAGTTTGGGGTTTAGGGTTCCTAAACCCTAAACCCCTAAACCCTAAACCCTAAAACCTAAACCCTAAACCCTTGTGCAGGGAAGCTCCCAGACTGGGACATGCCCATGCTGGTGACCTGGCCAGACTCGCTTCGAGCGTTTCTCACCCAACTCCTTCAGCATACGAGCCTGAATGATTCGAACACTGTAGCACCACTGTATAGCTAGATATGGACTCTAATGGGGTACTACTACGAATTATGCCGGCCTCTAGGTTTTTTCGCAGTAGTCACGCGCACGCTCTTTCTAATTTGGGTCTCTCTATACACATTGCGTAGTAGGAAGCATCATGCCCATCGTCAAGGAGATGTTGGAGAACCTAGTATAGGGGCCTTAAAATAATTAATTAGAACAGGGTTTTGGCCGATATAGTATTGGTACCTATTCATGCCACTATGTGGGTAGTTGTCAAAATTATGGTCCCTTTTGGGGTACCCTAAATAATAGGTGCCGTATTATACTCAGGACCCAAAAAGGGACCATAACCACCCTAAACCCTAAACCCTAAACCCTAAACCCACCTCTACTCTCTGACCCAAAAAGGGACCATAATTTGGTGGGGTGGAGGAATGAGGCTCATGGTCGAGTCAACCTGTAAAGCCTTACGCAGGAGTTCCCGGCCGGCTTCAGCGGTTTTGGGGTTTAGGGTTTATAGGGTTTATAGGGTTTATTGGGGTTATAGGGTTTAGGGTTTATAGGATTTATAGGGGTTATAGGGTTTAGGATCAAACTCCAGCGGCTCTTCTTGAGCTCCCCTTGGAAACTGGACAGGTAGGGTTTGATTTCAGCTGCTTTGAGCTTTGGGTGCTCGTCCTCCTTCCTACAGCCCTACAGTCCTAAACTTCGGCTGAGAGCAAAAACCACACAGGTCCTGCCGCTTAGAGAACCCTGCATGAAACCCTTGATCTTTGTCGCTTTCGGTTTCTAAGTACCCGAGCGATCCCTCTTTGGCCCAACTTAGGCTAGACCCTAAAGTCGTGCACTTCGTTTTTGGGGATAGTCTCATGGTTCTCATGGGTAGTATCCCAAAAGGGAGTTCAGATAGCCCAATCTAAGTAATATAGAGGCCTGAATAATTACCGATACTATTGTCGGGGCTCCCTGTTAGAAGAGTGGTAGAATATACCCCAAAACCCTATTCTAATTATTACGGGCCTTACAATACTACACTTCGAGTTTAGGCCCAATGGTTTCCTGACAGTACATCGCTGCCACGAGGCCCTTCAAG